ATATTCGAAAGTGTTCCTCTTGTCGTTTAAAAAAATCATTCTATGATGGACAGGTTACAGGTGAAAAATACAACGGATATGGAAGGTGTGTAGCAAAAGATGGCAAAGAACGATGGAAGGAATATTTCATGTCCCCCCCCCCCCCACCTCGCTTTGTCCTTGGGTTAACGAGGCTTGAGAGATGCAAATGTTAGCTGCCTGTCGTCGAGCAACCGCCAAGCATCGATCGTTTACGCTAGGGACTCTCCGTCTGTGAGTAAGAAATCGGTCGTGCTTTTATGTGAAAGCAAAACGTATCGAGAAATGTATACAATTCCAACTTGATGAAACATCGGTAGGTTGTCGATAAGTGGCTATAATATGCAACCTGAACGTTGCCAAGAACAAACGCGAAAGTCTTCCTATATTTCATTATTCATTTCAATTAACTAAATGAAAATTCCCTTTCCAGTAGTGAAACTACACGATTGTGCAGAGCATTATACAAATTACAATATTTAAACTGCTTGTACGTAAGCGCCTACAATATGCAACCTGAACGTTTCATTGCCAAGAGAACAAACGCAAAAATCTTCCTATATTTTATTTAGTTACTTCAATTACCTTGAACGAAACTTGCGATTATGTAGAGCATTGTCACAACGTATTATTTTACCTTTCATTAATAAAACCTCGCATCCTTTGTTCAACGAATCTAAACGCACGATACAGTACGCATTGATGGAACAAAGGTAGCATTTCGCCACCCTCTTATCCTCGAAAATAGAGATTCGTGGTGAATGATCATCACCACGGGTTTGAAACGAGCCCAAACGCTTTTTAATCAGAGTTAAGTGGATGGCCCGGCAATATTTACCCCCGGACGAATTCCACGCGTTAATTAGACTTGATTAAATCCACGATCTAATTTGTAACAAAAATAACTCGATGAAAAGAAGAGAGAGAGAGAGAGAGTGAAAGGGGCATAGAGTTAATTAAGTAAACTAACAGAGCTACACAGCTTGTCCATTTCACGAGCTGGATAAGCTATATATAGTAATTTTTAATAGAGAAAGGACAATGACGTGCGTGGGCAGGAAGGGGCCCCGCCCACCTTCTCGAGCATAAATCTTCCTTCCGGCTTAATTTTATCGGCGTCACGGAGCAGGCTTCCGCCGGTAGGAAGAGAGGGTGGCGCGTTCCGGGACGGCGGGGGTAAATTAAAAGAAAGGATCCGAATGAGACCACGGGCCGACGAAAGTAATCACTTTATCTGTACCCGCCACTCCCGGCCACGCGCTAATCTCGTCCCATGGTTTCAAGGCTGGATCGTCCTCCATTTATGAGAGCTCATTTCCATACTCGCCCCCTTTGAAACGTCGGTGGAACGTGTCACGCGATCCTTAGTCCGCCTGAACGTGAACAGATGGATCAGACGACAGTAGGCTGACCCAGGCTGGATTTTGATTTTCACAGATTCTTTTTTTGGGGGGTTGAAATTTTGAATATTGGATTATTGGGAGAATTTATGGGAGTTTTAATTGATTTTGAATTTGAATGGATTCGCTGGACGATTTATGACGATTATTACGCGAAAGTAGATTAATCGTCGATGGAGAAATGACAAATTGGAGAAAGTTGAAGAGACCTTTTCGAATAAGGGAGGATTTCGTAATTACGAAATTAATTAACGTTATTGTACATTAAATCTTAATTTTATCGCAATAATTCGCTCCGCGCCTAATTGTAATCGGAATAAATAAAATTGTCTCTCTCGTTTTTCATATTTTTCAAGTATAGAATATGATAATTACGAATCCTCTCGTTCCTTCCTTTTTTTTTTCTTTCAAATCACACTTGAAATGAAAAGAATAATTACAGATCCTTTCATCTCTTCCACTATTTAAATTCGCATCGTTAACACTTTGAGTGGTGGAATCTGGTGTTATATAATACCAAAGAAGAAACGAGCAACTACACGTATAATCGTATATTTTGCCAGGCTTAATTATTCCATTCCCTAGATACAATCTCTTAAATAACAAAACTATATTCGCTTTGTATTTACAGAACCATGTAACCAATTATCTCAAGCTCCTACACTTCCATATATACATGTATATACAATATATATAATTTCTAATTACCCAATTCCCAAAACGAAATTCCCAAGCTTCTCTAAACTAAAAGCATGCTAAATAAAATCTGGAATTCATCATTCGCCAAAAACCAACCAAATCCAAACCAAAATTAATTTTAATTCAAACTCCTGAATTTCCACCTTCCTCTTCCCTAAATCTTCCATCCTTTCCATTTCAAAAACCAAACTACCAATCACTAAATTGCAACTCAAACTCTCTTTACTTTACAAATTTCTATTTCCCAGGCCTCTCAAATCCTTTATTTTCTCCAAAGACACCAATAATACCACTTTTTTCGTTCTCAAACTCTCAGATTCTTCATTTCACCAATTTCTATTTCCCAGGCCTCTCAAATCCTTTATTTTCTCCAAAGACACC